TTTGTGACGATATATATACGATATATACGATATATGTATATATATACACTGCACCCTTCTTTCCAGATGGCCCACATGGTCGCCTTTGTGGTCCTTCCCATCCGTAGATGTTTTGCGACTGATCTCAGCCTCAACGAACTCCTTTTGATTGATGCCCACCTTCTCCGGTGCTTCATTTTACTATGGATATGGTAGAAATTTCTGCTTTTTACTTACGCACGTCTCGCTGTGGTGGGGACCGGGCTCTGACTGTATCGCGCCCTTAATCTTGTGTGTACCTGTAATTTGTGGCGGGCGCGATTGTAACTGTACTCCTTCTCCTTGATTGTCTCGTGTTTTCCCGCCTTCTCCCTCTCTGTCGCACATACTTCGTCCTCCATTCTAATTGGCCTAAGCGACTGCATGACCGGATCGATGCCTGGAGTGTGGCTACGTCCCCCACGGGGAGGCCTGGCCATGCAGACGTAGGCACTTCCTTCTCTTCCCCTTCCTTTCACTTAGGCATAATCCAGGGTTTTTCTTGCAGACATGCGCGCTATAAATTTCGCAAGCACGATTAGTTTGCTTTCTTGTTGAAGTTCGAGGTTAGCGCGATTAGTGAGTCGGCTAACGACTCGGAGTAAGCGAGAAAGGTGAGTAGAAGAGAGAGTTGGGCGATCCGACGAGCTGGTGCCGAGTAGTCGGGGTTGACGAGGGGCCGCGACGGACTGTGGCGCACGGGCGAACCTGGCTTGCATGCCCGGACCAAGCGGGGTGACAACTCTGTGTGGGTGCAAGGTGATGTACTGCCTGCATCAGGGGTGGTGTAGAGAGAGAGAGAGAGAGAGAGAGAGAGAGAGAGAGAGAGAGAGAGGACGTGTTGGGATGGTGTCTTTTCTCCCCTCCTTCGTATAATTTTGACAATCGGCGCCAGCCGTCTTTTCATCTCGGATTTCCTTTTTTCTGCCGATCTGTTTTCCCCATCTTTGCTTCTCTACCAGTTTGTCGAATCAGGCACGATAATCGTCTGTATCTGATCTCTGTGTGCCTTTGGTTAAAATGATGTGTACGAATGACTGGACTGACTGAAGTACTGTGATGCATGTGTGCTCGTCGATTCCTCACTCATTTCCTACTTTTCGCAGTATAGACTAGGAAGTCGCGTGAATGACCCTGCTTCGACCCTCTTACCTTTGAATCTCGACCCATGCATGGATGTTGTGATCGATTGTCCATTGTCTGTGTTATCTCTGTTGGTTGTATATGTACGACGGATGTTTGGGCATTCCGACTGGGAATAAAATAGACGTGTATGCAGATGCTTGGATGTGTTGAGTAGATGGATGCATTCCCTTAGGCACACCCGACTGAACTACTTCCCTTGACGCAACATACAAGTCTTATAAGCGCGACCCCTAGGGCCGCCGCTTACACGCATGTATGCAAATCCTGCCTGCAACCCGTTTTCCGAACGACTGAGGTTCTGTTGGTCCTGCAATATGAGTATTGAAACTCCTCTTCATGTTACTGATCGCGAGTGTCTGAGAGATCGAGAGTTCCGGGACTACTGGGAGCGCACACACTTCTCCGCCTGTCCCAAGGCCAAACTCCCGGAATTCCCCTATCAAACGGGGCGCGAGCGCCTGTCAGTGGGACACCGGGCGGACCTTAAACGACATTCCCTACCCTTTTCACCGTTCCGGCCAGCCCACGTGTCAGATCCTCGCGGAACCCGGTATCGTCATCATTGAAACGGAATATCCTCCTTACCACCTCACGTTACCATTCCATAGCCTAACAATTGCCCCCTGGCGCGCGATTGCTCCTTACTGGCATGACCCACCTTGCTCCGAGTGCCAGCAGGACCGTGCATACCGAGCCGTAGGGTACACCCGAAGAACCCTCTCCGAAGCCGAGCGACGGACACACAGTCTTCGACTGAGGCCCGCCACATCCGATTCCGAAGCTTGCGACGTTCGTCGGCGGCAGGTACTAAGCCAGCGGGACAGCCACTGTGTCCCGTCGGTACATTAAATACAGGACCGACCCTGACAACGGAACCAGCAGAGGCGGTAAACCCGATCCACAGGGCATTAAACCCCGGCGCGAGCCGCGCCTACCTTCTTGCAGTCCGGTCCTTTTTTTTTTTTTTTTTTTTTTTTTAACCGGGCCCAGTGCCCTCATCAATGTTTTACTATTTTAGGGGCGCTGTTTCATCCCTACTGTTATCATCGTCATCAGTATTGCCCTCATCAATGTTTTACTATTTTAGGGGCGCTGTTTCATCCCTACTATTATCATCAGCGGTGCATCATCACAGGTGCACGTTATTAACAATATCATCATCCTCGATTCCTCATCATACGGCGCGCGAGGGAACACTGGACGCAGCAAGGAAAATAGCGCACGCCCTCGACGATTGCGCGCGATTGGGCGCGCGCCGTGACCTGAAAATTGGACCACCGGTGGTCTATGTCGAGGAGCTGAGGTGGTCCAAATTTCAGATCAAATGATCCAGTGGATCATGAGATATCGAAGATTCAGGGTGCGCCATAGAGTATGTCGGGCGATGTGGACAACGGGGCAAGGCGATCGTCATCAACATAATAGATAATTAGTCCACATCCTTATCATCATTAATCTCTATGGGTGTTTAGTCATTTTTATAGTGATTTGCAGTCCGGTCCCTGAAACTTGCCACAGGAGATTCCAGTTCTGACCTGGAACTCCACCTCCACTTTCCTAAAATCCTTGGCACAACCCTTTTTTCGCACTTCCGGGCCCCCATTTCACTCCGATCAGGAAGTCGCGCAGGGTGTGAGGTTGGGCGTCACATCCCCCCTTCAGTTTTTCTTCATATTTTTTCCAGCTCAACAGTGCGGATCTCCTGACACGACAAAGGGCATCGCTCCTCCTCTACACTACACCGCACGTGCATCCAGCCCAATCTCTGGACCACATGCATCGAAACACAGGTTATTAAAAAAAGAAAAAGAAAAAGAAAAAGAAAAGGTAACTTCTATGCTAGCTCAGTTGGTTAGGCACGCAAGTGGCATTCAGGAGGTTGTGGGTTCAAGCCCCATGACAGCCTGGGGCGCACTTGGTGCCAACGAACCGGGATAGTCCTCTCGATACTCCTGATCGGTATTGGTCGAGTCTATGACCAACATGGGTATGAGTGCGAGCGCGAGTGGGTTGTGTGTGGTGTTTGGGAGAGTGTTGGCCATAGCTACTGCTGCTACTCGATGAGGGGTGGGGGACGATGAGAAAGGGAGGCGCAGCTACTGGCAGGTCTCGGTCTTTGTGTTACCTAGACCTATGTTGCACGCCCGGCCGCGGCCGGTGGGTCCGAATCGGCCGCGGCCTAGGCCGATGACCGACTCGGCCCAGTTTGGCCTAGGCCGACCAGCCGAGTTCGGTACATGATTTTTTTTACCCATTTTTCACGTACAAAAAATATATATATATATGGGCGTGTAGGGCTGAAAAAGCCCTACACGCCCATATTTTTTTTTTGGGTGTGGGACCTTTGTGCGCGGCGCAGGAAAAAAAAAAAAAAAAAAAAAAAAAAAAAACAACGCGAAACAAAAAAGGGCTCGGTGGGCCGTTTTGGCCCTATTTCGAAGCCTGCGGGTGAGGGGCAACATGTGGGTAGTGGGCAGTGTGAGGAGGGCGGTGGGTCCAGGCCCAGGCCACGGCAAAACTGTTGCCGTTTCAGATAAATGCAGCCATTTATCTGAAACGACAACAGTTGTTGCTGTTGCCGTTAGGCTGCCGAAGTGCCTGCTCGCACGCTGAGAGAGAGAGAGAGAGAGAGAGAGAGAGAGAGAGAGAGAGAGAGAGAGAGAGAGA